ACGACGCCTTTTGGCCAGGAATAGCGTGGTGAGTTTGGGTCGACAATGACGACTACGTTTCCAACTTCAATCGGCTTGGCTTTTTCGAACCAGTTGGTTCTTCGTGTTAGCATGGGTAAAACTTCTGCCACCCATCTCTTCCAAAACATTTCTGCGAGGTGCTGAGAGTGTCGCCACGAGGCGCGAGCAAATGGTCCGCACTTTTAAAATTCCCAACTGGTTTGAGACCCGACGATGAGCCCAGCAGGAAATGGTTGGGTGTTAGTGCCTCTTGGTCGGCAGTGTCGTTAAAGGTCGGCTGTTTACTATTTGTTCCACCTCGAGGAACAGGTTGTGGAGCTTTTCATCAGTCATTCTTGTTGCAGGCGTCACAATCTGGTACATAACCACCTTTATAGAGCGCACCATGCGCTCCCATGCCCCTCCCATATGAGGCGTTGCGGGTGGAATGAATGTCCATTTGGTGTACGTGTTGGTAAACTCAGCTTCTAGGCCTGCAAAGTCAACTTGCGATAGCGATTCTCGCAGCTCTTTTTCCGTCGCTCTCAGATTTGTTCCGTTGTCGCTAAAGAACTGTCTCGGAGTCCCTCTTCGTGCGATGAAGTTGCGCACAACAATACAACAGGAGCTGGTGGTCAGGCTGTATGCCATTTCGACGTGCACCGCGCGGCACGTCATACATGTAAACACCACACCATAGTGCTTTTCAGTGCGCCTTCCGATGGTAACCAAGAAAGGTCCAAAAAAATCCACCCCTACGTGGGTGAACGGTCGGGTGTAGGGCGACAACCGTGCTTCAGGCAGGTCGGCCATCTCGGGTGAATGCGGACGAGCCTCGTTAATCTTGCACACTTGACAATGTTTTCGCACCGACCGTAATAACGTTCTCAACCCTGGTATGTAGAACTTCTGAAACAGTTCATTGATTACGGTCTCATGGTTTGAATGTTTCCACCTTCTATGATACCAGTCGACTATCAGTCTAGTGATCATATGCACTTTCGGTAGTATGATTGGGTTTTTCATATCATCATTTATAAAATCTGCTCTTTCTAGTCGACTGCGCATTCTTACTGTCGTTTTCTGGTCTAAAAACGGCGAGAGTTTACGTATAGGGCTTGTTTTAGGCATGGAGCATGCTGGGTTCTGACGCAGCATTTTAATTTCTTTATGAAAGGCTTGGGGTTGGGCAAGGCGATATAAATAGGTCTCGCTCCAGGCTAACTCGTCGGTGCTAAGGCTACCTCTAATAGGGATGCCACCTAACTTATTTACAAATCGCTTAACGTACGCCACACTTCGGTGTAGGCGTTCCCATTTTGAAAAACGGCTAAGATCTATCAAAGGCTGATCTTCTACTACATTAATTGAGACTAGTTCTGGTCGTAGTTCCCCATGCTCGTGCTGTCCATCTTCTTGTTGATTGCTTTCAAAGCTTGGCCATGTCTCAACTGACTGACGGAGGAACGCAGGTCCGGAGGTCCATTGTCCAGCCATCGAAAAATCAGGTACTGGGGTCGCCTTCGTTCCTAAGTCGGCGACGTTCAATTTCGAAGGCACGTAGCTCCACTGTGATATATCGGTAGACTCCTGCACTTCTCCCACTCGAAACATAACGAATTGCTTATATCCTCTACGTTCGGAGCGCAACCACGAGAGAACGGTTTTGGAGTCCGTCCAATAGCGCACACGATCGATTTTGCAGTCGAGTGCTTTTACCACCGCATTCCCTAGCCTCGCACCCATCACCGCAGCGAGCAGCTCCATTCGAGGTATAGATACAGGGCGCAAAGGTGCGACCTTCGATTTGGAACACCAACGACACTTCGACGTCCTCACCTGTCCCGATCCTCAGATACGTTACCGCGGCGTAAGCGTTTTCGCCAGCGTCTACAAATACATGCAGCTCGATATTGCTTGCTTGGCTGCTCGCTATACTGAAATAGCATCTGGGCACCTTCATATTTTGAACTTGTGGAAGAAAGGATAACCACTTCATCCACTCACCTGACAACTGCTCCGGTATAGAATCGTCCCATCCTATACCACTTCGCCATACCTTCTGAAGTAGAATTTTAGCGTCGATTAAGAAAAAGGTTAATAGCCCCAACGGGTCAAATATAGACATCAGCAATCTTAACAGCTCCCTCTTTGTTGGAAGCTTAGCTCCTCGCAGAATTTCATCGTTGGCCTTCGTGAATTTTAAATTGTATGTGAGTGTGTCATCAGACGTCTGCCACCACATGCCTAGCACCTTACTTGCTTCAACTACCTGATCTACTCGTTTGGCAGCGCCACAAAATTCGCGTGCATCGCCTGCTTCCCCTAATGCTTCGACGACATCTGTGGAGTTGGATAGCCAACCTCGAATATGAAAATTTGCGTGCTTGTGGATCGCACGAACACTCGTAGCCAATTGAACCGCTTCGTCAATCGTATCAACGCTGTCGAGCATATCATCGACGTAATGCCTCTCCAAAATACTTTTAGCTGCTTTTGGGTGCGTATCGGCGAACTCTAAAGCGTTTATATTTTTCACAACTTGAGCTAGGGATGGCGAACAGCTTGCCCCAAAACTCATCACTAACAACATGTAGACATCTGGTGGACGAGCATCCTCACAGTTTCTCCACAGGAAACGCTGCGACTGCTGATCTTCTTCATCGATGTGCACTCTGTGAAACATTTCGCAGATATCGCCACACAACCCAATTTTCCCTATCCGGAAATTAAGTAAAACATCAAAGAGAGAGGTCAATAAGTCAGGGCCCTTGTCCAGGCATGAATTCAAGGAGAGCCCTTTGTACTCCGCAGCTGCATCCCACACTATTCTGACCTTCTGTGGTTTATTTGGATTTCGCACCGCAAATATTGGCAAATACCACTTCCGAGGATGATAGGCGGAAATCTCGCTTGTGCTTAATTTGCGAATGTACCCCTTTTCCTCCATTGAGCGAATATGTTCATTTACAAGTAACCTAAGATCGGGAGACGATTCTAACTTTCTCTCGAAGCATGTGAGTCTACGCAAAGCCACGGGATAGTTGTCTGGCATAGTAGTGCTCTCCGACTTCCATAGCAGCTTTGCTACGAAATGTTCTCCCTTGCGCTTAACGTTGCCTCGCATTTCATTTAACTCTGTACTTTGAAACTGATTATTTTCCCGGCCATTACAATTTTTCTCCAGGGACATGTACTCTGTGACCAACTTTTGCAAGGCTACATCGTCATCACACTCTCAAACATGTAGCTGCATATTGTCAACGTTCTGTTGTTCGTCGGTATTTATGACACCATAAACGGTCCATCCAAGGCGGGTTTTGGTGGCAGCTGGCTCATGCGCTTTGTCTTCACGAAACTTAAGTGGCATCATCACATTTTTGTTGCTTAATCCAATTATTAATTGTGGCACAACGTTGCGGTATGACTCAACTGGAATTCCTCTTAGATGTTTATGTAATCCTGCAAGCTCCGTAATATCCATTGTTTGAAGTGGAAGATCAAGCGCATCCACGGAGCGTACGTTACGCAGAGTAAGCCTCTTTTGCTTCCCACGCGGCGATACATCTAAATCGATCCTATCGGAGTCCCGCTGTACACGTACCGTGCCGTCTGTCCATTTAAGACACAAATCTGCTTTAGCACCTTGCACCTGCAAACGTTGCAACACACTTTTCTCAATAAGAGTTGGGCCGGATCCATCGTCTAAAAGGGCATAAACGTCACATGACGTGCCTCTTCCATAAATCGTTATTGGTACAACACGGTAAAGCGTGTTACTTACTTCTTTGTGATGAGCCACCATTGCTGTTTGAGCATCGAAGGTTTTGTGTAAAAGCGGGTGATGTTTGTAGGTGCAACCGTTCACGCCGCATGCTTTCCTCTCACGACAGCTTCTCGCATCGTGTTTTCGTAAACATAACCTACAAAGCTGCAACCTACGTACCTCATTCCATTTTTCGTCATAACCTAAGTTTTTGAACTTATCGCATTTTAAAATAACATGAGATTCTTTGCATAAATAGCATGATAATTTGGGTTTAACCCGTTCGGTGAATTCTCTGCTAGCATTCTTCTCCTCCGCATGAACACTTACCCGATGAGCTTTGCGTTTCTCCGACTCAGGATTGCTAGCAGAAAGAACTGATGTAACGTTGCTGGCAGCGTCTGCCAAGTCGAAAAGCCAATCGCTAAACGCCTTCAGATTAGCGTCTGAAGACGGCCTAGAAAACATTGCCCATTGTAGGCGCATTTGAGCTTTCAACTAGTTCTTGTATCAACACAGGATTTGTCATATGGGACTGG